TTTGAGCGAGTTACTAACATGAAGGCCATTGTGGATTCAGGTGATCGTTATCTTGAATCAGATGATAATCTGGATTCGGAAGACCATGCAGAAATGGAGGAATGGCATGGGAACGACTAAAATTGTCTTCAGTATTTTTGGTTGACAGACTGCTTATTAGAACTTATTATATTTTGTATTTTGTAAAGTATATAGACAAGTTCTAATGTATTTTGAGTTATATCATGTAATTATCAAACTCTTGTAAACTCATTAGAACAATGTATATTAATGTTATTTCAAGTTTCTTTTTAATTGGTTTGATTCTCACACTTTGTCATTTAAATTTTTATAAGTTTGAGCAAAATAAACGAAATGTTTTATAATTCTACGTGTTATATTTGGCTAACAAATGGATTTAATTTAATTTTTCCTTCTTAACTACGAAATTATTTTTTTATTATTTTGAATAAAATAAGAATGTTACAACTACTCCATGTTTTATGAACAAATTTCAAGGTTTTTAATAAGCTTTATCTATTTGTTTGAAATTATACAAATTTACCTTTAACCATACTTACGATATAGTTCTCTATTTGTTTGAAATTATACAAATTTATCTTTAACCATACTTATGATATAGTTCTCACCTTCTATGGTTGCTTTATTAAAGTTGTCTAAATAAATTAATTTAATCTAAATGTATGGTAATTTTTCTTCTAATTAATTATATTTTTTTCTTTATTTATTTTTCACATTTTAAATCTCAAATTTTAATTCAATACTAATCACACACCTATATAAATTTGTATACAATAAATTAATTATATATAACAAAATTTAAAGATGTTACATAAACTAGATTTAAGTTTCACAAAATGTTCTATAAATCGTATAAAAACTAAATAAATGGGAAAGTAATGGTAAAACTGTAACACCCTCATTTTCTTATCTAAAAATAAATAAATTTTTATAGTAAAAGAAGAAAATAAAGAAATTTTATTGTGTTATATAAATTTAAGACTTGAATAAAAAAAAAACTTACGTTCATTTTTTTATGAAAATCTTACTGAATTCAAAAATAATTAAAACACCCAAAGGAATGGTTTCAAGATTTTAAAGTGATGAAAAAAAGTTTGATTTATATCAAACTATTATTTTGTTCATATATCACAAACATAGAATTCTAAATCACCACTGTAAGCATATCCAAATTATTCATTACAACAAAATTTACCAAAGTATAATAAATTCTAAAGTTTGACGTTAAAGAAATATTTATATAACTTGGTCAATATATAATATAATTAAGATGAAAAATTATAATCTCTCCAACTATTATAGTCCCTACAGAGCAGTCTTCCTTCAAATACCACTGGTTTATGATCCTAGAATGGACTAGCCCTCTTTATCTCTTCACTTTCATTACCTAAAAATATGAGTAAGGGTGAGTATCTCCCGCCCACTAAATCTCTTTATTTGACATAAAATTTATGTAGTACAAGAAGTATTGGCTAACATATTTCAAATACACATAAATTAATAATAGCACTTAAAACACACAAATCATTATCAAAGCGAAGTACACATCCAACAAATTAATCATTTTTGTGATTATTTATGACATACATTTTCTATCCTAATCTATATGTCATAATACATATATTCTATCACATCAATCAATATGTCATAATACATGTATCTTAATCGCACTCATCAATGTATTACAACACATATATCTTAGCAGCATTAATCGATATGTTACAATGCATATATTATAATTATACAATCTCTATACTACATTATATTAATCACAATTTCACATTCATTACACTTTCATATTCATTGCCCCTGGGATCCCTTGAGGACTTAATAACATAGATAGTTGCTAGTTAGCCACAACAACATGGATACACAAGTGTGCCGACCCGGCCCTGTTTAGCAAATGTGTAGTCAGGAGTTTATGTTAGGAAATAAGTGTGAGGCTTGTGGTGTCTTTTCTCTCTATTTTCATTAATTTTTGCGCAATCATGGAAAAACATCCACCACCCTTATTTCCTCCAGATTTCTAATTGCCCCTATCTTCCACACTCCTAGTATATCTCTATGACTATCTATACTTATTCCTTTTTCTTTCTCTTTCTCAACATTTCTCATTTCATTCTGATTCTTCTCTATATCCTTCTCATATATCAATGTGTCATAATACAGGAGTCTTGATTACACAACTTAATGTATTACCATACATGTATTATGAGTACACTTTTTGATGTACCACAAAACATAAATCCTAATAACATCCATCCATCTATCTGACTCACATATTACGAACACATCTCTCATTATCCCTTCATCGTGTCATATCATTTCATTTCATACATAAAACTCTTTATTTATTTAATGAAAATTAAACACTTTTCATCAATAACCTAATTTAACCTATTTCAACATACCTCAGTCATTAACAAACATTCAGCTAATACAAAAGATCCTCAAATAATTTCAAACCACACAGATTAATACAATGTGCCGGAGGTTGGATACCTTTGGACTCAGACCAATTGTACAATCTGACATACATACTTTCTCAGTAATAGCAAAGTCATCTATCCTAAAGTTCAATATCACTTATTTATATATAAATAATAGTAAAATCTAAAAATTTCTCAAAAGCTTAGTTGTTTATCTTTTCACTATAAAATTTTATCTAAATGATCTTAGGATTAAATTATTTGTTCCTCATACAAAATTTCATTTTTAGTAATATAATTTAGAGAATCGTTGGAGTTTTATTACCCAAAATGAAATGCCAAAGTTAGAGTTCAAAAAGGGGTTTTCTCACAAGAAATCTATTTTCTACTCCCATGATTTTATAGAAAAACCTTACAGTTTCATTACTTAGAATCAAGTAGTTGAGTTTTCTATGTTAAACTACATAAATGAGACTTAGGGTTCGGGATTTACTTCCTTTACCTAGAAATGAGTTTCTCAGATCGAGTTTTACTAGAGATATAAGGAAAGGCACAATGTCCCGGTAGAGAATAAATGTCGAATCAAAAAAATTAGGTGTTATCATATAGCTTTGTATCAGCTAAGTTCATGAGTTAGAGATAAGCAAACTCGAACCCTTGACATCCACCACAGGGTAAACCACCGCCTTTCAGGCCCGACTGATTCTACCATAAAGGCCAACGATAGACAATAACTTTCCTCCAAACACAACTTACAACTTTCATCGTACTGTGCTCTCCAAAGAGCAACTCTTCTCAAAATCTCAAGGGTTAAGGTTTCATTGAGTATGACATAGTACAAACCTTTAGATCGGATAAAATGGAAAAATAAGAATGAAGTTGAAGCAACAAGCTCAAAGAAACTTACTTGGATCTGAATGGTTAAGCTTCCAAGCCCAGATTCGAAAAAAGATTAAAATTTGGAGGAGGATTTCTGAGAAGAGAGGGTGAGAGATCAGAGAAAACAGAGGGAAGGTCGAGATTTTCAATTTAAATCTAAGTTTTCTAAGTTGAAAGCTTTAAATACTCCTTAACTCGCGATATTATTGCTACAGTGAACCCCTTTCTCACTGCAGCGAAAAAATCAAACAAAATTTTTCTTTACTGTGTGTCATTCTAGCTACAGCGAGAGCTTCTCACTATAGCAAGAGATTCTAGATACAGCGAAAAAGCATTAGAATGCCTGATTATGGACGCTTTTTCTCGCTACAACAAAATGCTCTACACCAAAACTTCTATTTTTTCATATAAGGGTCACAAATTTGAAGGTGTTACAGAGACTTTTCTTTCTACTTTTAAGCATTAAACAATAAAATAAATGTATTGTAATACTAAAAGTGGAAACACACATTCTAAACTAAAAAATAAATTAATTAATAATTCACGATGAAAGGAAGAAAAAGTGAGATAAAACCTAAGTTACTATTAGAAAGGTACACTGTTAACTTCTGCTACTATTAAATAATAAAAATGCATAACTAAAAAATAATAATAAAAAGATTCATGAATTATAAATATTCTATAGATCATATAAAAACCAAATAAATGAGATGAAATCGTTAATCTTTGCTACTATTGAAATGGGGTTAATGCAATGGTACCAATTAAGAGCATTGTAGGCGCGCTTTGGACTCTGCATAGCATAGAAAACCGATAGAAGCAATTTAAAGGAGAAGACGAGGTAGGATAATTTAGTTTTTATTGTGCCTATCCGAATGAGTTCTCACCTTGGAATTCACATTTGATTAACAATTAATAAATATTCTAATACAATATGCCAACCTACATGAAGAATAGTAAATGACTTTGCTAGCTAATGATTACTTAATATTTAAAAATTTTAAATAAATTATGAAATAATTTTTCTAAAACTAGGAAAGATGATAAAAAAATTGTCAAAGAAATTTCATTAAATTTTTTACAAAATAAATTTACAAATATTATATATATATATATATAGTGTGTTAAAATCAAATATTAAACTTGAATAATTATATCATATAACAACTTTTTGTAAAATGTAATAGTAATTAATTTAAAAGTAATATCACACAAATTATCTTATATTATCATATATTAAATTTTATATAATATGTCGTCTAAAAATAATATTTATTTATATTTAAGAGATATATTATATGTTAAAATAAATTAATGAGATAAAATATTTATTTATTTTATTTTTATATAAAATTATATAAAAATAATATACAATAAAAATATTTAAACTAATAGTTGAATTAATTAATATTAATTTTATAAAAAATTATCAAATAATATAAGTGTTTAAATTGATACTTGATATGAATAAATTTTACATCTCTCTCTCTCTCACACACACACATATAATAAATTAAAAAGAAAAAGACAATTACATTATTTTTAATAAATTTTAATTAATAACTAAAAATATAATAAAAAATATATTAAAAACTATATTACTAGCTGAAAACAAAATTCCCATAAATTTTCGTCTAATACTAAAAAAGGTTAAAAAAGTCGTAAGGGATTGAACGACAATTATTTGTCTCCGGCGGTGCAATGCTGCGTGTGCACTGCTTTAACAACAACGCGCTGAAAATATTCAACTGCGAAACGCGAAGCTCCAAAACGAAACGTTTCGTTTCACCAAACTTGAAGAAAAACAGAGAGACGTCATCGTACTCATCTTCACAAAAATTTACTCACAATTAATCCCAATCCATTTGTTGCCTTCCAAAATCAAATTTCATCGTTAACCTATTATTCATTCTAATTCCACGCCATGATTCATCAAACCCCAATTATCTCTGTAAAATAATACATCATTTAATTTTCGATGCCAATCGATGCTTCAACCTCATCGATCTCGCGTTTTTCTATAACCTGAGGTGTTTTGGAATCTGGGTTCGAAGAAAGTAACGATTTTGGGTTGTGGGTATCGGGATTGGGATTCGAAGGGAAAAATGAGTAACCAGAAGAAGAGGAATTTTCAGATAGAGGCGTTTAAGCACCGCGTGGTGATGGATCCGAAATACGCCGACAAGACATGGAAGATTCTAGAACATGCAATTCACGAGATTTACAACCACAACGCTAGTGGTCTCAGTTTCGAAGAGCTTTACAGGTTCTTCTCTTTCCCTCGTTTTTTTTTACCCTGTTGTTTTCCGTTAATTTGGTTTTTCTTCGTTGTTTTGGGAAAAGTTGTTTAGCTGCTATTAATTGATGTATGTTATCTTGATCTTAATATGGTTAGGATTTCATTTGGTGATTAGGAATGTGCATTTTTTGTTTTTAAATAAAAGGATTGTTCAAATTAGAGCAAGAAAGCGAGTTCTATTGTTTTTCTGGTTTGATTTTCATGGGTTGTTTGTTGTTAGGTTAAGGTGTTGTCTATTGCTTGTGCATGTCCACATTTGGAACGGTTATTGAGTTTGTGATGGAATTGTATAATTTAAAGTACTGTACCCATGTGTCTGAGAAAGTCGATTTGCTGCTCAATTTTTTGGTGTTGGGGATCAGCTGCTGTACATGACTATGATGTTGCAATTGGTTGCTTTCATTGCTTGATTTGATTTGTGTTACATAGCCATTACATAGTTATTAATCTTGAATAGTGACGTATAGCTGCTACTGCCAAAAACTCTATGGCTGTATGTGGATGGCTGCTATTCTGATGGTTTTAGTAGACGTTATATATTTTTTAGGTGCTTCTTGTATACCCTCTTTAAATAATTATTCTACGTGTGAGAGAGCACAGTAAAAATTACCTATTGTTTTATTATATATTATAGAAGCTCAAAATTTTTAAAAAGAAAAAAAAAGCTACTCAAAATTCACGATATAGTCATAATTAGCAATAAAAAGACATAACTGCAAGGTATGAGGTTTGAGTTCGATATTGGAAAAATGAGGTTCTAATGTGAGGTTTATAAGGCGGCCTTTCAACTACAATGGCTTACTTTTGTGGTTTGATTCTCTTGAGGTTCTTACCTCTTTTCTTGATGTTTCGTGATGGCATTATTCTATAATTAGTAATTTTAGTGGGCTTAATATTGTTGGTTAAATGTGGTGAGCTGGCACCACTCTTTTTCATTTAACAGAAAGTTAGTGCTATGTACAGGTGGCTTGTTTTTCGGTTTCTTGTTAGTATTTCAAATCATAGCATATATGGTGTGCAAAAGTGACTTTTAGGTAATGAGAATATTCACCAATCATCTATCTTAATTTCTTAGTGTTTTCTCTCTCTGTGATCATTGGAAGGTTATTCTATTTTGATTTTCCCTGTTCACTAAGTTGGGTACAACAGAATTAATTAAAGTTCACTGCATCCAAATATTCCTATCACAATTGGTATCAGATTTCGATCCTTGATATGTTTCCATGCTGATGAAACAAGATCCCAATCAAGCATCCAAGAGGTGGAACACACTTTGACTCGGAAGATCAATGACTCAATTGCTGCAATGCAGGGCAAGATAGATAAGCTTAATGCTTGTTTAGCTGAAATTAAAACCTTGCTCACTGCTACACACATTAGTTCATCCACTGGTGACCACTCCAAGAGCCACCAGGAGGCACATCATTTTGAGCAATCTGCCAATCAGCAAACGTCTCTTGGGCCACACTCTGGCCAAACTAATTCATATCACCAGAACTTATATGCTACACACATTGCTAAGATTGAGTTTCGCCGGTTTGACAGCACTAGACTCAAGGAATGGTTATACAAATGTGAGCAATTCTTCTCTCAACAACACCCCCTCAGAGTCCAAGGTCCGACTAGCTTCCATGCATTTGGATGGTAGTGCGCTGCAATGGCATCTCAATTATATGAGGTCCAAATTTAACATCTACCCTAGGTGGCCTGAGTACATTTCAGATATTACATTGCGATTTGGTGCTGTTTATGAAGATCCATTGTCTACTCTAATTCACGTCAAATAAGTGGGACAAGTGCACGATTATATTGAAGCGTTTAAATTAGCTCTAATCCAAATGACCATACCCCCAGAACGTTCTTTAAGCATTTTCTTGGCTGGCTTAGAACATAAAACATTGATGCATGTCAGGATGTTTAACCCCACCACCGTTGCTCATGCATCAAATCTGGCTAGACTCCACAAAGCATGCCAACCCATCTCCAAACACTACCCTAACCCACCTTCCTTCTCCACCCAATCATTAGGAACTAAATCCAGTCCAACCACATCTAAACCACCTATATTACCCAACCCCATCACCAACCTTGTGACAAAACCCATCCTAAACAAACCACCTTGTTCCTACAATGTTGCTGAAATGGCTGATAGGAGAGTTAAAGGTTTATGCATGTTCTGTGATGAAGTCTTTTTACTCTTGGCCATCAACTCAAACACAAGAGAGCTCAATTGTAATTGAGCTTGATGATGATGATGCTGACGAGGTTGACCAAGAGATTGTAGTTGACAAAGACCCTGAGACGGCGGCTGTTCAAGCATCCACCGATACCCCTCAATTATTCATGAATGCTTTATCTGGGGCCTCGACCTATCAAACATTGCAGATCACGGGATTATATAATCGGAAACCACTTCATATTCTCATCGATAGTGGAAGCACTCATAATTTTGTAGATTTGGAGTTAGCCAAAAAAATGGGGTGCAAACTAGAGCCTATCACTCCTTTGTCTGTGATAGTAGCTAATGAGACAAGGATTGATGCTTAATTTGTGTGCAAGGATTTTCAATGGCTCCTTCGACAGATCTCATTTAAATATGAGGTTATGGTCCTACCATTAGGGTGTTGTGATTTGGTGTTGGGCATCCAATGGCTTTTCTACTTTGTGACCCATTATATGGGATTTTAATGAATTTTTTGTTGGGGGAAAAAGATTTGTATTAGGAGGTGCCACCTCCTCCGCTGTTAAGCTCATTAATAATAAGACATTAAGTCAAGCCGTGCAACAAAGTGCTCAATTATGCTTTTTGCATCTTGGTTTTGCAGAGGATTTTTTGGAGATTCCAACTTGTCTCAGCTTTTCCACATAGAGTACCCCACCATTATCGAATCAAGTTGTTTCTCTTCTTGAGGAGTTTCAAGACATCTTTTTCAAAGCCTACCCAGCTGCCTCCGCCTCAAGGCATTTTTTATTATGGGATACCCTTGAAGGAAGGGTCTATTCCTTTCAATCAACGACCTTATAGACATTTCGTACTCCAAAACACTAAAATTGACGTATTTGGGAAGGAAATGTTGGATCAAGGCATCATTCGCTATAGTAATAGCCCTTATGTCTCACTTGTTATTCTTGTATGCAAAAAAGATGGGTCTCGGAGACTATTTGTTGATTATAGAAAGTTGAATGTGCAAACAGTGAAAGATAGGTTTCCTATACCATTAATTGAGGATTTAATGGATGAATTGGGTGGTTCAGCCATCTACTTCAAACTTGATTTGAGATTCGATTATCACCAAGTTCGGTTAGCGAAAGGAGAAGAGTTTAAAATAGCATTCTGGACATTTTGAGTATCTTGTGATGCCATTTGGACTCCCGAATGCTCCAACGTCTTTCCAATCCCACATGAATGTTATTTTTCAAGAGTTTTTATGTAAGTTTGTGATTATTTTCTTTGATGACATTTTGGTCTACAGTCTTACATTAGAAGCCCATATCCCTCACCTCAAAGCAGTGTTCCTTATCCTTCGAAAGCATCAACTATTCCTCAAAAAGAGCAAGTGTTCTTTTGCAGCAGACAGAGTTGAATATTTGGGTCACTTTATATCTAAATGCGGTGTCTCTACTGACCCCTCCAAAATGGTGCACAGTGGTCTCAACCTTCCAATTTGAAGCAATTACAGGGATTTCTTAGTTTAGTAGGGTATTATAGACTTTTTATGAAAGATTTTGGCAAGATTGCTCGCCCGTTTAACTGACATGTTAAAAGAGAATAACTTCAATTGGTCTACAGTGTCCCTTGAGGCATTTAGGATGCTAAAACATGCTTTAACATCTGCTTCTGTACTCGCACTCCCTGCTTTTTTTCAGCATTTTGCAGTGGAGACTGACTCGCAGAATAGGCATCTGTTGGCTTATATCAGTAAGGCATTAGGACCAAGACAACAAGCCTTGCCTGTATACGAGAGAGAATTGTTGGATGTTATTTATGCTGTGTAGAAGTAGGGTGCATATTTGTCCCACAATCATTTTACAATAAAGACAGACCAGAAAAGTCTCAAATATTTACTTAAACAACGACTGCACACCCCTTTCCAACAGGTTTAGGTAACTAAATTAATGGGAGTTGACTTTGACATACAGTACAAAGAAGGGAGTGCTAATGTCACAGTTGATGCTTTATCAAGAAGACCAAATGCTGAGTTGTTATCAATTATCTTCAGTAAAATGGAACTAGGATTATTTGATAAAATTAAAGACTCATGGATGGCTGATCCTAAGTTGCAGCAGTTGATTGAAGAGCTACAACATCAATCTAATAAGCATCCTAAGTTTTCAAGGTACAAGGGTGAGTTGCATAGAAGAAGAAAACTGGTGGTGGGGGACATAATTGATCTCAAGATGCAGATTCTTCAGTGACTGCATAATTCCTGTATTGGTGGCCATTCAAGTAGGGATGCCATGCCTACATGAGTTAAATCCTTGTTTTACTAGAAGGGCATGACAAAAGATATACATCACCATGTGCGAACTTGCGATGTTTGTCAAAGATGCAAACCAGACTTGGCAGCAACTACTGGACTTTTGCAACCTTTGCCCATTCCCAATTGGATTTGGGAAGATGTTAATATGGATTTTATAGAGGGATTACCACCTTCTTATGGCAAGCAGGTTATTTTTGTCGTAGTTGATAGACTAAGCAAGAGTGCTCATTTCCTTGTATTGCCACATCCTTACACTGCCTCTGATGTGGCTCAGGTGTATCTTAATAATATTTTCAAACTCCATGGTCTTTCTAATACCATCACTAGTATCAAGGATCCTATTTTTTAAGCAAGTTCTAGAAGGAGTTATTCTAACTTCAAGGAGTGGCCTTGAACAAGTCAACTGCATATCACCCACAATCAGATGGGCAAACTAAAGTTGTCAACAAATGTTTAGAGACTTACTTAAGATGCATGTATTTGAATAAACTTTCGTCTTGGTATAAGTGGCTACCTTTGGTTGAATGGTGGTATAACACCAACTACAAAGGTTCCCAGAGGCTATTCTTGAGCGAAAAATGGTGAAAAGAGGTAGAGTGGCTACCACTAAGGTTCTTGTCAAATGGCATGGATTACCATCTGAGCACGCAACTTGGAAGTTTTACTATGACTTATTGCAGAAGTAGCCTGCTTTTAATCCTTAAGGACAAGGACAATCTTTAAGAAGGGGTATTGTGTTGGCATTATTCTATAATTAGTAATTTTAGTGGGCTTAATATTGTTGGTTAAATGTGGTGAGCTGGCACCACACTTTTTATGTAACAGAGAGTTAGTGCTATGTACAGGTGGCTTGTTTTTCGGTTTCTTGTTAGTATTTCAAATCATAGCATATATGGTGTGCAAAAGTGACTTTTGAGTAATGAGAATTTTCACCAATCATCTTTCTTAATTTCTTAGTGTTTTCTCTCTCTGTGATCATCAAAAGGTTATTCTATTTTGATTTTCCCTATGCACTAAGTTGGGTACAACGGAATTAATTAAAGTTCCCTGCACCCAGATATTCCTGTCACATGTTTCTTTAAGCCTTTTTCTTTTCTTTCAATCAAATCTTTCTCCCTACCATCTTCTCTCCCCTTTTCTCCTCTCTCTAGATTTTCCTCTTAAAAAAACTAAGTTTTCATGGGCCTTTGTCCATAACAGAGAGAGCATTTAAAAATTTATAATGTTGCCCATGGAGCTTTCTGTTTTCTATTTTGAGTTTTTTCTCCCAGTGAAACATTCTGTGGGTGCAGAACACTCCATGGTCAAACTGCAGAGCTTAGTGTTTTATTACCTCCTGATTTCCTTCTTTCAGAAAACTGTGGGTGTGCAATATTGCATGTGGCAACCAAAAAAGCTTACTAGTTCATCCTTTTTGGGATATCATTGCTTACAAAAATTTCCATGACTCTTCTAAGCTTGGTTCTTCACATTTGGAGCCTCTCTAAAGCTGAATTTTCACCTACAAGTGCACACAAAACTCAAGAAATATTAATCTATACTAAAAGAGACATAAATGACATGCTAGACATTACCAAAAGCATGAAAATACATGAAAAACTATATGTAAATGGTATGTGATTTGCTCATGCATCACTTGCCTTGATTAAAGTACGTACTGAACTAATAGATTATTTTTGACATATAAGATGAATTTGGTTGTAAATTTTCCTTCTGGGCATGCACTCATCAAGAGGGAAAACCTTGGCATAATGGTATGATGCACCCTTGTGACCTAGAGGTCACAGATTCAGATAATGATAAACAGCCTCTTTGCTAGTAGGGGTAAGCCTGCATGAATCTGCCCTCACTAGACCTGACTAGTCAGAATCTTGTGCACTAGGTTACCCTGTACATGTACAGATTAAAAGATCTTTTGCTTATTTTTCTTTCCATATTTGGTAAAACATACCCTATGTTTCTAATTTTGCTCTTTTTATTTCTGTGTGGATTTAGAAATGCATATAATATGGTGCTTCACAAATTTGGTGAGAAGCTTTACTCTGGGCTGGTTGCAACCATGACTGCACATCTCAAAGATATAGCTCAATCTGTTGAAGCTGCTCAAGGAGGGTCTTTTCTAGAAGAGCTGAACCGGAAATGGAATGATCATAACAAGGCATTACAAATGATTCGAGACATACTAATGTACATGGATAGGACTTACATCCCAAGCACCCAGAAGACTCCTGTTCATGAACTCGGGCTGAACCTGTGGAGAGAAAATGTCATTTATTCCAGCCAGATCAGGACACGGCTATTGAATACGCTTCTGGAATTAGTACAAAGTGAACGCACTGGTGAAGTTATTGATAGAGGGATTATGAGAAATATAACAAAAATGCTGATGGATTTAGGTCCTTCTGTTTATGGACAAGAATTTGAGGCTCCTTTTCTTCAAGTTTCAGCTGAGTTCTACAGGGTAGAATCCCAGAAATTCATTGAGTGTTGTGATTGTGGTGATTATCTGAAGAAAGCTGAGAGGCGTCTGAATGAGGAAATGGATAGAGTGAGCCATTACTTGGATCCCAGGACTGAAAAGAAGATTACTAATGTAGTGGAGAAAGAGATGATTGAAAATCACATGCTTAGATTAATCCATATGGAGAATTCTGGCTTGGTGCATATGCTTTGTGATGACAAATATGAAGATTTGGGTAGAATGTATAACTTGTTCCGTCGTGTTACTGATGGTCTTTCAAAAATACGAGAAGTGATGACTTCACACATGCGAGAATCAGGTAAACAGCTTGTTACTGATCCTGAAAGGTTGAAGGATCCAGTTGAATTTGTGCAAAGGCTCTTAGACGAGAAAGATAAATATGACAAGATTATAAACTTGGCATTTAACAATGACAAATCTTTCCAGAACGCTTTGAATTCCTCATTTGAATATTTCATCAACTTGAATCCTCGTTCTCCAGAGTTCATTTCACTATTTGTAGATGATAAACTCCGGAAAGGTCTAAAAGGGGTTAGTGAGGATGATGTTGAGATTACTCTTGACAAGGTGATGATGCTATTCCGATACCTGCAAGAGAAAGATGTTTTTGAGAAGTATTATAAACAGCATCTAGCAAAGCGGCTGTTGTCTGGAAAAACAGTTTCTGATGATGCAGAGAGGAGTCTCATAGTTAAGCTTAAGACAGAATGTGGTTACCAATTTACATCTAAATTAGAGGGAATGTTTACAGACATGAAAACCTCTCAGGACACAATGCAGGGCTTTTATGCCTGCCATCCTGAACTAAGTGACGGCCCTACGCTCACTGTCCAGGTTCTTACAACAGGGTCTTGGCCAACTCAGTCTAGTGTCACATGTAACTTGCCGGCAGAAATGTCTGCACTGTGCGAGAAGTTTCGGTCATTTTACCTTGGCACCCATACTGGCAGGAGATTGTCCTGGCAAACTAACATGGGCACAGCAGACTTAAAAGCAACCTTTGGGAAGGGTCAGAAGCATGAGTTAAATGTTTCTTCTTACCAAATGTGTGTTCTCATGCTGTTTAACAATGCTGATAGACTTAGCTACAAGGAGATTGAGCAAGCAACCGAGATTCCTGCTTTGGATCTTAAGAGATGCCTGCAGTCATTGGCTTTAGTCAAGGGAAGAAATGTTCTTAGAAAAGAACCTATGGGTAAAGACATTGGTGAGGATGATGTTTTCTTTGTTAATGACAAGTTCAGTAGCAAACTGTACAAGGTAAAAATAGGAACAGTGGTTGCACAAAAGGAATCTGAACCTGAAAAACAGGAAACCCGACAAAGAGTGGAGGAGGACAGGAAGCCGCAAATTGAAGCAGCAGTAGTGAGAATCATGAAATCGAGGAAGCAACTCGATCATAACAATCTTATAGCTGAGGTCACGAAGCAGTTGCAATCACGTTTCCTAGCAAATCCAACAGAGGTAAAGAAACGGATTGAGTCTCTCATTGAGAGGGACTTTTTGGAGAGGGATGATAGTGACAGAAGATTGTATCGATACCTTGCCTAGAATTGGTAAACTTGTTTGTTTCAGTGATCATGGTGTATCTCATGAACCAGGTGATAAATTACCTTCACATAGCTCCATTGATTTTATTGTATATTAATTTGTTTTCCAATTCGTTGTGATGTTTCACCTTGTTATGTTACGGCATGTTTTTCTTGAATGCCATTAAGGTAATTGTTACCGTACACCTTCAGCTACCTGAATCTGTTACTTGCAAAAATACGGGTTAGTTTGTTTTCATTTCATGATGACTCCGTGTTTGTGTGCCGCTAAATCAGGAAAAAGATTCCAAAATTTATTAAGGAATAAATAAAGGAAAAGAGTATAATGTAATATCTAGGGCATGGAGGACAGGTTTGTCTTCTCAATTTCATCATTTGTGGCTAATTTGCAAACGGTGCAGGAAAAAACAGTTAAGTTTTCAGTCAGGGGGCATTTGAAAAAGTTTGACTTTCCATTAGAGCTTTTTAGCTAATCAAAAGTAGCTCAACAAATTTTTTTAAACTTGTTTTATTAAGTTTCATGGTAAAAATTGTGGCATATGTCATCATGGAATTGGATTTTGTTGAATTAATGTTTAATTAAACTGTTTATCCAAATCCATTGTGTTAAGCATTTGGTTTGAATAGTGAAATCATAATTTCTTATTAACTAACGAGATGTCACAGACCACATTGGCTCCTAGTTAATTGCTTTGTTTCAACTCCTAATACACACAATAGATCACAAAATGTAGTATCAGGAATCCAAAATATTCCAAAAGCTTAATCCGCAATATTTCTCTCGGCTTAAGCAATCCCGTCAATTCATAAAGCTGATGAAATGTAGTATCACTAATCCAGAGTAATACAAATAGGTCCTAATAATTAATGCAAACTGGACAGTAGTAACTAATAAGTTCCATAACAAGAGCACTATTTCCTGACAACTACATCACTGAAGCTGATCAAATGAAAAATCTCTGCCACTGTTTCAGTTGAAAGATGCTATAACTTGAATTATTTTTCAGAAGTAGCGCAAGAAATTTAACAGAAACAGAGTACAACGGAAAACAGACATAAGAAGAGTACCACACGGGACAATGACTGTTTCAGAGAACAATTTAAAAGAAGAGTAGCAACAAAAAAAAGAGTACAACAGAGAACTGGCATAAGTAATGTGAAATAGATTAGCAAGATTGTACGGTGTTTAAATGGTGTCAGCATCAATGATTACATATTTTTACTTTCCACCCAATGATAAGGCTTTGGTTGTTTTTAATTTTTTATTGTTGTATTAATGATTAAATTTTAAGCATGAAGCACGAGACGATGTGACTGCCAAGCAACATTAAGAAGGAAAGGACAATAATTTTGTAGGCTTAGTTTATTTGTGTTAGAGATCGTCCCTTGAAGGTGTATAGGAGTAGGAAGGGATCAGTTGTAGGGGAGCAGAACCCAAAAGCCCAAGAGACAATTGGATAGTTTTCACCTAAAAACCGTTACAACTTAGGACATTATAAATAGAAAAAATAAAGATAATCAGGGGATCTTGTTTTTTTTGTAAAAAGTAACCTTAAGAGTAGAATGAGAACTACTCGAATAATTCTCAGAACATTAGTGCATGTATTCTGTTGTTTCAGAAATTTAATAATATTGCATTCTTTCTGTACTATCAATTTGCAAATTTAATTGCTCAAGAGATATAAATTCAGGCAATTTAATTGATATAGGCAATTCCTTCCTCGGCAATGGCCTTGAAATCAGCAATCTCACTCACATTCTTCTCCTTAGTCTTGTTAGCACTAGCAAATGGTTCTAGTGCTGGCAAAATTGCAATCTACTGGTGCCAGAATGGTAATGAGGCTTTTGCTATAGGGAACTATGATTATGTGATCATATATCCTTAATGGGTATGGCACTGCCAAACAAGGCAATAGAATGTACGTAACTGCAGCTCCTCTGGTATCCCTGCCACTAAGATATTCTTGGTGCTACCAGCTTGCCCTGACGCAGCAAGAAGTGACTTCATTCCTGCTTTCGATCTTACTTCCAATGTGCTTCCACTCATTAAGGATTCTGCTAAATGTAGGGCTGTTATGCTGTGGTGTAGCTTTCATGATGCTCAAAGTGGATATAGCTGAAGAGCCATGTTTAATATTCAAACTCATCCTTCACCAGTATGTAGCTTGTAGGGAAAAGCTCCACCAAAGTGAGCTTATTTGTGAAGTGAAAAAGGTCAAAAGTTATTTACCTTTTGATCTTTATGGGTTTAATCCTATGTGTATTTTAAATTAAATAAATGATAAATAATACTATACTTTACAAACACACTTTAAAATAATCTTATTCATAATTTGTGATAAACAAATTCACTTTAAAATACTCTTACTCATAATTTGTAATATATACTTATATATCGCTAAATATTCAAATATTTATGTTAAGAAATAACACACGTTTAGTTTAAATTTTGATAATATAATTTTATTTTTTTTTATGAGATATACGTGGTATGAAGAATGTTAGCAACACATTTTTAAATACATTTTCTTTAACATACTCTTAATTATTAATTAAAATTTATTAAAAATTAAAAAAAATATAAGAAAAAAATATTAATTAAAGAGTAAAAAAAATAAGACCTATATAATTTTTATAGTTTTTAATAAATTTGAACTAATAGTAAAAATATGTTACAAAGAATATATTAACATTATTCTACTTAGTATATATATAAAGTACACGATCATGAACCCATCAAAATTAATTATAGAAAAAGGTACATGGCTTTATGTAACTATCGGAATTAAGTGCCATTATTAGGTATGCCCTGTAAACTTGATAGATCATTTTTATTTTTCTTGTTTTCCAAAAAGAGAATTTTATAATGATTAGGCTATTCTCCCCTTTCTCTCAATTTCCATTTTTGTTTTCCTACCTAATCAAACTCGTTCATCTTTCTGAAATGTGAGACGTAAATCTGTTATTTTTTCTTATTATAATAGATGTTTTCACAAAAATTTACAGATATTTCATTCTATTTGTATTTTAGGTTTTATATAACTTTGCCATGCTTCTCCAATGAATGGTAATTCATACTTCATAACAGAGAATTCCTATTAGCTCATTAAAGCTAGCTGTGAAATGGATCTGAAGAGCTTTTCAGGCAACAGCTAAAAGCACAGAATAAAACAAAGCAATTTTTTATTTTTTGGCATGGGGACACGTTACAGAAACAAAATTTCTCTTCAACAAAAATCTTAATAAAATGAAAGGCAATTTACAGTTTTTATGACCTGCCACTAGCCAATACCCTCTTTGACTTGGGAGGGGAAGGAGGACCTGTTACATGTTTACACAAACAGAAAAGAAAAACTATTCTTACATGTTAGCAAAATCACCTCATCCTTCATACTAAAATGAAACATGAGGAAGCTGAACAAACTAAAACCTTGATCAACTTTCCCTAAGAACTTCCACTGAACCCCACAGTGGAGTGAAAACCTTGGCCACAAAAATGCACCTCAATCACGCTTTAACCGTGGTCACGCAAAGAATAAAATTCCATTGTGCTGCAAGTAATTGAATTTGGATTTGTCTCTCTTTGGTCCAGCTTAAAACATACATGAACGTTGAGACTAGTCAAGCTGGAAGGGATGTCAATTATGATGACCTGTGCCTGTAGCGTGCATCCCTTCACATATGAGCTTGAATAAGAAAGAAGACCAAGAGTGGGCGTGGTGGGAAGGTACAAAATAAACTGAAAATTGGAAAGGTTAAGTTTCACTCTGTGGTCATGGTAGGGGTGGAAAATGAAGTTACATCCCACTTTTTAACTCATTTAATATCGATTTCCCCACAGATTCTCAATTTACAGAATTGATGAGATAGTTCCTCAAGTCTTATCAACTAGAGGAAGCTAATTCATCAAAGAAGACAGTTAGCACGATAGCATATAAAGAAAAAGAGAATGACATTCTTATGATACTTGAAACAATCAAAATGAAGGTCAACTCGAAAGAAAAGGCACCTTAAAGAGCCAGAACTGATCAAGTATTCTCTGGCGGAGATGAAACTGCCCTGTGTCGGAATAGCTTCACTAATGCTCTGCGTTCACAATCCTGCATAGATTGATGATGAACACACTTTATCAGTTGCTCTGACATGATTAGACAAAAAACTTTCATCTATATAAAAATAAATTGTTTTAATTAATGAGAGGAAGGAGAGGAAGAACCCTGTCTGCGTCACTGAATTAAGATGACAGAACAATACGACCATTAGGTATGCCAGACTCCGAAAACCTAAGTGACTTGCAGAGGCTTGAAATTTAAAGGATCAAGGAGTTTTAGGCAGTAAAATTTTTTATAAATTTCCAAAATTTATTTTTATTCAGAGTGAAAGAAGTTTGCAAGTAGCAGTCGAACAGGATATCATTGTCCAATTCGAACGAATAATAGGCCTTTGTCAAGATTAATTCCTCTCATTCATGAGAAAAAGAGAATATTCTCTCTCTCTCTCTGTGTGTGTATTTGCTTGTGTGATGAGAGAGGGAGAGAAAAGCAAATCTTGACCATACAACTCGGTATAGATTATCAAGATTTACAGGTAAACATCATATGACCACTTATAAATGTCAAATGACTTTATGATGTAATCTTGACTATTCATGTGAGATTCAATGGTCTAATTTTGCTCCTCTGAGTCATGTAAAATTTAAAAATAGCCCCCTCGCTTTATATGGAAACACTGTATGTGTGCATGTGTATATACAAATTGTGTAGAAATTCACCTTGAACATATATAGCTGAAATGGTCTCTCTGGATTCATTCTCCGGAGTTTCAAGTAAGTATAAGCAAAGCTTAGTTGATCACGAGATGTAAATCGATCAACTTCATTGAACCAAAGACAAGAAAATAAATTTGACATTGGTGTATGTGCCCTGATTATCAAGGAACCCTCGGGAACATCTGCAAGGCGAAAGAATCAATTGTTGGAATTTTATTATGCACAAGCAGACCCAACAAAAATTCCACAATGAAGAAAGATGCAAAGGAGACGCACAACTTGGAAGAGGATTATTTGGGTTTGATGGGTCAAACTTGGGGAGGCCATCAGATTGGTAAAAGTTAAACTGTTCGTCAATTGCTGTATGGTTGTATTTATTTAAGCGCTTATTTTGGAGAACCTCCTCCCAGACATTGTGGCGATCATAGTGATTTGAAATGGCATATTCTGCCTTCCTTCGCCACAAAAAATATTCAATGATCAGCATAGGGTCAGAGTTGAGTCGCATCTTGCTGTCAAGCCAAATTGAATACCTACCAAGCAATGATTTTTAAACAACATTAAAGGAGGAATAAAAGGATAGAAATTTTGGAAGCTAGAACAGTTTGCTAGAACTACCTAGAATTTGGGAAGAGACGGTGTGATAAAAATTTTGGCACCTTGCCAGTTCTCCGCATGTCTTCATATGGCAAGTTTTTTACAATAACTATTTTCCATAGGCCAATGTACCCTCTCTCATCAGGACTGTTTCCTTCTGATGAAAGTTTGGAGAGTGTTACATCATCCATGAACATAACAAAACAAACATTGCTCTTTGAATATGTACTGATCTGCATTGCAGCAAAGAAACATATATAATATTTTCTAAATTATTAACATATGGTTTGTAAAGCAGACATAATGCATTAACAATTAATAGAAATACCATAATCATATAATTCAGGTTGATATATTTAAGTTCCAGTGTCCACTACTACATAGCATAAAATATAGTATATGTGATAAAACCAACAAATATTGTAGAAATATTTATTTCAAGGAAAGGTCATACTGATAATACCAATAAACAAATACATGATTAAATATCACCATGAACAATGTCAGCAATATTCTTAGAAAACCAAATCTAGCATATCACAAAAGTTTTGATGTATCAGAATGACAAATTTGTGGAATGAACTTTCATTTGAGAGAAAACCAAGTGTCTGCATTTCGACAAGTTTCTTGTCTCCTATTAGTTTTGTTATTATTTTGTACTGCTCCATTGTTTATTACTTTTCAAAGTAACACAGATCGTTGGATTCAATTTCTTCTGTATACATATTACTCTTCAGCCTCCAATATTTAAAATTTGAATCACTCAATTAAACTAACATAATGATTTTTCGGTGTCATTTCAGATGTTGTTGATATCAAACAGAACCTTGACTTAAGACTTTGTTTTTATTATGGTTAACATACCAAAAAGCAAAAAAACATTTTAAAAGAATTTGCAGAATTACCAGTCGACTTGTAGGCCTCCGGAGAAAATCAGAGCTTCCAAAAATGCAAGAAGAAACTGCAATCTTACAGCTGAACATGTATGTCTTATCTTTTTCATTTATATCAAATCCAGTGCTTGGATATCCTGGTGGCCCCTTGACAAAACCACAATTGAGTGTCTGGTTTTTTGCATAAAATGAATTTTCTCTTTCCTCTAGAGTCTGATGTCCTCCAAATCGAGGTTCAAATAAATCAATTTTGGATGTTTTTTCTTCATGGTCAACGTACTTTAGAGAGAACCATGTAAAGTTCATATAATTTTTGGGTTCAACAAGGCCATCTACTGATTCCCGAAATCCAACTTCACACGGAAAATCTGAAGGATTGAAATTCAAGGAAAATATTGGAGGCAAAGAATCTAGTTAATTGTAGAGTCAGCAAAGTGAGGAACATATTAATCCAAACAATTATGATAGATCACAAACGATGTTGGTTTAGTCAATAAAATTCAAGCATTAGCAAGGGATTGGTAACCATGAAGTTATAAATCCCCACAGGTTTGTTCTTTTTCATTTAGTAAGAACATACTCTCTTAACACATTCTTAGTCATTGACTACAATTTATTAAAAACTACAGAAGTATGAGACAAAATCATTAAATTAAACGTGAGATCACATGAATTTTGTAGTTTTCAAAAAAATTTAACCAATAACTAAGTGTATTAGAAAAAGTGTGATGCTAATATTTACCTTTCATTTAATACTGAAAATAACAATCGCATTAGAGATTTAAAAATAATCAGCATTTGGATAAGTAATCACCATTTGCAAAATGCTAATTATCATAATGCCATAGCAACAATGACCAAATGCATAATCATGTTTTGCCAGTAGAGATGGAAATAGGTTAGGTCAGGCTAGGCTTTACTCTAAACAGGCTTAGCCTGTAACATAATTATTAAGCTTGAGCCTAGCCTGTTACCTATTAAAAGCTTTATTTTACGCCTAACCTGACCTGAAACCTGTTAACAAAGCCTGTTACAAAAAAAAAATTAATATTAATAAAAAATATAAATATTTTATTATCAAATTAGTTTATATATTTTTTTAATTTTTATCTATGTTTTTAATAATTATTAAATAATTATAATAATATTTATATAATTTTATAAATAATTTTTTAAAATATTATTTAAGTATTAATTATAAATATTTTATATTAATAAAATTTATATTTATCTTTTTCTTGATATATTTTTAAAAATTATATAAATATTAAATATTTTAGTTTTATTTTAGAAACATATTTTTTTTGTTTAAAGACATCTTATATTCAACAAATAAAGTTATAGTAAATATATAAAATTAATAAACAAAAATAACATTCACATAATTTGTTGAAACAATAAAAAGAAAATTATTATGTTTTAAAAAATAAATAAATTTAAATTTAATGCAATATATATATATATATATATATAATGACAATAATAATAACTATTAAATTAAAAAAAATAATGACAAAATATTTAATTTTATTTGTTTCATTAATTTGATATTTGAAATATATAAACAAACATAAAATAAACAAAATTATAACATTAATGTAATATAAAAAATATTATTGATACAATAAATTAAAATATATACTTATATATTACATATAAATTGATAAATTAACTAATAATTTAATTAAAACACATGAAAATTACAAAAATATATATTATTATATAATCTATTTATAATTATATTGTTTGTTATATGGTCTGATTATATATATATATATATATATTATAATAAATTTGTATTTTATTTTCTTATCATTTTTTATAAATTTTTTCTTTTGAATAAAATATAATTTATATTTAAACAATTTTTATTTATTATAAATATAAAAATTTATAATATACTATATTAATATAATATTCGAATATTAATAATAATATAATTAAAAATATGAAAATTTATTTAAAAAAATATTAATATTTTATTTTTAAATTTAATTTGTTTATTCTTTTTCAACTTATTTAAATATAACAAATATAATAATTTATAATTAAATAAATTTAATTTTTAAACACGTATAATCATGTATAAATATTTTTAGTTCCAAATATAATATAATTTTTATTTATTATAAATAAAAAATTGTGATATAATATATTAATATAAAAATTAAATATTAATACTAATAAAATTAAGAATATAAAAAATAAATTAATATAATATTATTATTTTATTTTTAAATATTAATTTTTTTAATTTTAATTGTATTTTAATCTTATTTGAAAACTTTGCTGCTCTTCAACTTGTTCAAACAAATATAATAATTTATCTTATATTTATATTTAAAGTAACTATAGATAATAATAAAATAAAAATAAAAAATAAGTGTGATTGCAGTTTTGACACAAAAATATGTAATTGTGTTAGATTTGTAATTTATTGTGATGTAATTAATACAATCAATAAAAAAAATTATTATAAACTTTATACAAATAAAATTGCTTAAAAAAAGATAAAAAAATAAAATAAAATTTGTATAAATATTAAAAATTTATAATGATTATTGTTATTGAATAATAATAATAAAAATATAATTATTTTATTATCAAATTAGTTTACATATATTCAAATTTTTATTTGTATTATTGATAATTATTAAATAATTATAATAATTTTTATACAATTTTATAAATAATTTTTAAAATATTATTTGAACATTAATTATAAATATTTTCATATTATAAAATATTTTTATTTTTATTTTTTTCAGTTTAATATTATAAAATTATTAAATTATTACATATTTTAATTATTTTTTATGATAATTATATTTTGTTTGTATAAAGACATTTTATATTTAATACATAAAATCACAGTAAATATATAAAATTAATAACAAAAAATAACACTTACAAAATTTATTGAATCAACTAAAAAATTTATTATATTTTAAAAAATAAATAAATATCACTATTATAAAAATTATAAATAAAAAATATTTATATTATAAAATTCATAGATGCAGAAAAATAATATATAAATATAAAAAAATTATTAAAATTTATATTTAAATTAAAATAACTTATATTTTTAAATTTTTATCTTAATTAAAAAATATGTGATAAAATTTAATATAAAATAACAATAATAATAACTATAAAATTAAAAAAAATAATTACAAAATATTAATTTTATTTGTTTCATTAATTTATTATTTTAAATTAACAAATAAACGTAAAATTAACTACATTATAACATTAATATAATATAAAAAATATTACTGATACAATAAATTAAAATATATTTATATATTATATATAAATTAATAAATTAACTAATAATTTAATTAAAATACGTGTAAGTTACAAAAATATATATTATTATATAATTTATTTATAATTATATTATTTATATTATTTGCTACATAGTCTGATTATATATATATATATATATATATATATTATAATAAATTTTTTATTTTCTTTTGTTGTTATTTTTTTATAAATTTTTATTTTCAAATAAAATATAATTCAAATTTAAACAATTTCTATATATTATAAATAAAAAGAGTTATAATATAATATATTAATATAATAATTAAATTAATAATAATAAAATTAAGAATATAAAAAATATGTTAATATAATTTTATTATTTTATTTTTAAATTTTATTTTGTTTAGTTTTAATTACCTCTTATTTCTGTTTAAAAACTTAATTATTTTTTAAATTATTTAAATATAATAATTTATTATTAAAATAATTTATTATTTAAAAAGTGTAATCATGTATAAATATTTTTAATTTTTAATAAAATATAATTTCTGTTTATTATAATTATAAATAAATAAAATTATAACATAATATATTAATTTAATAATAACAGAATTAAGAATATAAAAAATATATTATTAAGTAACTATTATTTAAATATATTTTGACAGCTTTATTTTTAAATTATATATATATATATATATTTTATACAAACTGGTCTGTCAGGCTTAACAGACTTTATAAATAGCTCAAGACTGACTTATTTATTTAAACAGACTTTAAAAAAAGTCTAAACCTGGTTTGTTTATTAAAAAGTCAGGCTTAAACCAGACCAAGCCACAGGCTCCTGTCAGGCGACCTGACCTGTTTTCATCCCTATTTATCAGCAAAACAAAAATAACTCCTATAACACAAATTATTTTGCTTGATGCTAACAAAACCATATTTGTCATTATCCTAGAAATGCTCTGGTAGGGTCAGATCCAATCAAACTACCTATTTATTCTAAGAGGCTTAGGAATTAAAATTAAATCTATAATGTGAGTTATTGGAGTATGAAGTTATGTGTTCAGAATGTAATGGGAAGTTACTGGAGTAGATAGTTACTTATTTAGAATATAATGTGTAATTTCTGGGTAAAAGACAGTTATGAGTTATGACAATATTTTTCTTCTCTTGGACAGAGATTGTGCTCTGTAGGAGTTTCGAAAACTCTAGGATAGCAACATTAATTGCTGTATTTCTCTGTTTTTTACATTTCCTATTAATAATTAACAGTGTTCTATCAATAGGTCCAACCTGCCGGATCAAATAAGGGAAGGAATTTCTTTGAAGCCAGCAAAGTTTTCTGGTATAATATCTTGAGTTTCTAACAGAATTGAATAATTCAAAGAGAGGGTTGAAGGAATGGATGCTCACATGGCTTTAATGGATGAAAGGATGGTTCTACTAGAAGAAAATTTAGAAAAACTCTTGGCTGAAATGCAGAAATTGTTAGGCAAAAGGTTATTGGAGGAAAATAAGAATTTTAATAACAATGAAGAAGGCTTTGTCATAAAATGGGTCAAGATCAAATTTTTAATGGTCTTGAAGAATATTGTATGGCGGTTAAAAAGGTAGAACTTCCCTCCTTAGCTGGTGATGATCCTATGGGGTGGATTACAAGGCTGAAACCTACTTTGAAGTTTAATATATCAGAGGAAGTGAAGATTAAACTAGCTAAATTAAGTATGGAGGGGATTACTATATATTAGTCCAATTGGTGGAGAGCAACTGAAGAAATTTTAAGCTTGGAGAAATTCAAGAAGGCTTTAATGATTCGGTTTGGAGGAATGCTGTTTGAGAACGCCCACCAAGAGTTATCTGAATTGAAGCAAGGAGGAAGTGTTGAATAATATATTGAAGCCTTTGAATTCCTTTCTGCACAAGTAAATAAACTACCAGAGGAGTAGTACTTGGGGTATTTTATGAGTGGGCAGCAACCAGAGATCAAGCAGAGTTCATACTTTCTGGCCAAAGCCTAGATTGCAGACTATGCAATTAGCGAGAGATTTGGAGGCAGAAAGGACTGCACTGTCTATAGGAGCAAATACTTGGCAATCCAAATTTGGAGTTCCTACTGGTGCAACCAGGTTCTCAAAATTAAGCAGTGGAATGCGTGGATGGGAGGCTAGTTCTGTAACTGCCAATAGCAAGCCAAATGTGAGATGGAATTCTTGGTCAACCACAATGTACGTGGGCTGAAGTCACAATACCCAGAATCAAACTGTAGGTCATCCTCTTCTTTGGTTTCTACAAGGAAGAAAATTGCAAGAGAGGTGCAAAATTCTGGAGTAAAAAATAGAGGCCTGAGACATCTTACATATTAAGACTTGATGGACAAAAGGCTAGGGATTTATGTTTTAAATGAGGAAATTTTCACCCTTTGCATCAATGTGCAAATAAAGATTTGAGATGGTAATATTGGGTGAAAATGAAGCATTAAATGAGGAAGGTGAGATAATTGCTCTTGAAGTTGATGAGCAATATGATGAAGCAGTTGGAGTGTCAAGTTTTGGGGCTGTTTGGAGCACATCATGAAGGTTTGAATGAAGTAAAAACAATGAAGATGGCGGGAATACTAAATGGAGTGCCTATGGTGGTCTTGATAGACAGTGGGGCCAGCCACAACTTCATTAACATAGTGGTAGCTTGACTAGCTTCAACCTTGGAACTTGAAGTAGATAAAACAAGCAGCAAGAGGTTGGGTGATGGACATCGAGTGGCCACTAAAGGGAAGTGTACAGGGTTGAGGATGAAATTGGAAAGTATGGATGTTACATGAGTGCTTATATTTTAGATTTGGGAGCGATGGATGTGATTTTAGGGGTGGTGTGGCTTGAAACATTAGGCAAAGTTCTAGTTGATTGGAAAGAAATGACTATAACTTTCCATCAAGGAGCACAAATGCTACAAATGCAAGGAGAAATTGGCAAAAAGAAATTTGTACAATGGGAACCAGAAACTTTTAAGTGTTTTGGGAAATTCAATGCATATGACCACCTTTTGTGGAATAAGCATTCAATCAACTTATACCATTTAACTAGAGAACATGACTGGATGAAGTGTTATGCAGAAAAGAAGAGAAAAGATCATCAATTTGCAGTGGGAGATTGGGTTTCTTTTAAGCTTCGGCAGCATAAACAACAATTAGTGGCAAACCAAATCAACCAAAAGCTAGCATCACATTTTTATGGTCCCTTTCAATTTTTGGTTCCTATTTCGCAGAACCTGAATAGCCCCCTGATCTGATTATTCAACCAGTGGATTAGGTGCAGCCAGAACGGATCTTAGAGAGCCAGTTGGTGACAAATAAAGGCAAATAGATCAAGCAGTATTTGGTACAATGACAAGGTCTTGCAACAGAGCATGCTACATGGGAAGATCAATCTGTTATGCAGCAACAATTTCCTAATTGCTGCCTTGAGGATGAGGCTGATCTTCAGGAGAGGGGTGATGGTAGGGTCACAGATCTAATCAAACCACCTCTGTTATAGGTTTATTCTAGAAGGCATAGGAATTAAAATAAAACCTGTCATATGATGATTATTGGAATAGGTAGTTATGTATTCAGAATTGTAATGTGCAGTCATTGGAGTAGGCAGTTACATATTAAGAATATAATGTGTAATTTCTGGGTAAAAAACAGTTATGATAATATTTTTCTTCCCTTGGACAGATATCGTGCTCTGTAGAAGTTTCGAAAGCTCTGGGACTGCAACATTAATTGTTGTATTTCTGTGTTTTGTTACATTTCCTGTCAATTAATTAACAGTGTTCTATCATGCTCCAGTATCTGTTCGACAGCTTTTTATTGGTCTTGTTTAATCTTCTGGTTAGATGCTCATTTTTCATTTCATAAACATGCAAGTCCAGTGTCCAATGTTTCGGAATTTCTTTCATTATTGCTTTCTCCTAAAAGGGGTTTATCAATAAACATTCATTTTAGAAAAAAGAGGGTGGAGATGAAGGCATGAAGCACATAACTGAAGGTGAAGTTAGTGTTCAAATTCATAAAACATAATTTTAATGATAAAAGAGGTGCAAGGTATAGACTCTTACGCTTTCGGCGCTTGCCTTTAGGTGCCTTTCCAACTTCAGCTACCATAATATTTTCTTGCAGGTTGCGTTCTTCTTGTAGATTGTGCGGATTTGAGAACCTAGATTCCATTTTAGCTGTAACCAATCCATTGCCAAGAAATACGAGAAGTGAAATTCAGCAAGTAGGATTTTTCTGACACACGTCATACAGTGGGAAACTATTTGTATATAACCATACAAAAATATCATGAGAAACCGCCCATATCTCTAGCCTCACCTTGAAAAAACATTTTAAGGCCATACACTGTTAAAGAAATCGAAAGGAATGCCGTGATAAGGAAAATCAAGCGTGAAAGTCTCTGCTTGGTAATCCGACCAAACCTTCTACCACGACGTAAAACTCTAGAGCCATGATCACTTTTTCTAAAAGAACTGAAAACTGCATCAATGATGCCTCTTCTCTCGGTGAACAATTCACCATTGTTTCTGTAAAGAGCCATTCCAGAGCATGTCCCAAGATTCAGACACAGACCAGTTCATCTGCAAAAAGATATTTAGTTTTCAGCTTCCAAGTTGCATCGAAAAGGAGACTAGCAAACAATAAACCACCCATGTCACCAACCGATGATCTTATGCAAACTAAACTCAAAACGCAAATTCATGTGTGCTTAAATGGTTACACATATAAATGTTGATGCAAGCATTATGACAGCCTTCAATTCAAATCAATAATTGCCATAGGGAAGAAAGTAGATGCAGATTATAAAATCACCATTACAATGAGTGATCCTATAAAACAAAACATGAAAATATCAAGCTAAAACATTGTCAACAATCCTTCTAGCGGCACCAAGCACATGAATGAAAGTGAAAGCATTCACAGATAAACGTCACTACATCATAGCAAAAGCAAATAAAAAACGAAACTAATGGACAAAAAAATCCCATTTATTGTGGAAAACATTACTCGAAACTTCTCGATGACCCTGCACTAATAATTGGATTATCTATTGAAATTGTAAAAATTCGAGGGTAAGACGTCATTGAGAACAAAGAAAGAACCATAGCAAATAACTAAAGAAACAGACCACATTCCCTCCCTCGCAATAACAGAAAAACACAAAAACAAAAAGAGAAAATGGAAATTTCAAGCTCTAAATGAGAAATGATAAGATGGGTACGCCATAACTTACAGGGATTAACGAGAACAACAATGCAGAACATGGAAAATCTTCCCAAAATGAGATCTTTCTGGAAGGAACAAAATTCAAACACTGAGATAATCGTTAAAAATGGATCCTTTAGGCAATTGGAGAGGAAGAATGAACATAATATTGGTTGAAGCCGAGGATCTATCGCGAGTGATGCAGCGGCGGAGCATAAAAGCACGTGGGGTGGGTGTTGTGGTGTGGCGTTATGAATGAAATATCACGATCCGCACTTTGGTTACGGCAAAGTTTGCATTTTTCGTTTTCCGCAGTTGGTGTGTGTCTTTTAGAAGAGCTTTCTTTTTCTGACACCGACAGTGTAAAGCAGCGTCTTTTGTGGGTTCGTGAGTGAGGGTCGTCGGTGATGCTTCTTCAATCTATGTATGGTATGTTCTTATGCAATACGATTATGCTTTTTCTGATTTTCTGTTCAGTTCAACGTTGCGTTTATTTAATTAATACTCAGTGTTTAACCCACGATAGCTTTTAATTAGCTGATATTGTGCTGTTGGTTGTAGGTAGTAGGTACCCCCTGCCCCACGCCTAAAATTCACTTTTCTCCAAAATCAGTAATTCAATTATCGTTTATATACGAATTCATTTTCAAAACCGAACCGCTCCTTCAACCAATAAAAATGAATAGGTAATAATTAAATATAAATATTTTAATATATTAATATAGTTAATTAAAATTAATATTATAAAATAATATTTTCAGTTAATATTAAAATTTTTTATTACATATTAATAATAAAAATCATATTTTATTGAACTGTGTTCATATTTTTGTATTAAATATAGTTTAATATTCAAGTTATAGTAAATATATTATATTAAAATATTCAAAAAAACTTATAATAGTTTTATCTGTCTCTTATAAGAACAGAATACATGTGATTTATATATATTTGTCTCATATTCAAATCTTTATGTATGGAAAAAAAAATTTCAGTAATAAATTCACTTATCATATCTAATTATATATTTAAATCATTTATTGTATTTTATCTATTGTAATAATTGAATTGATTTCAACAAAAATAATTCCTTGTTACTAAGCATTTCTAAAAAAAATAATATTTAATAATAGTCAAAGATATTAAAAATTTACTTTATTTAATGATTTTTAAACATTAAATTTTATCAATTCAATTTATATTAAAGAAATTACGATGATAAAAATATAATTTAAAAATTAGTTAAGATTATATTAAATAAATTGTTTTAATATATAATATATTTTTTAAGTATAAATAAACATCAACAATAAAATTGTACAACTATAAATGTTTAATTTATAAAAAAATTAATAGACATTATTAAAACATATAGAAAATTATTAAATAGAATAAATATGTTAAAGTAATTGAATTTTTGTCTACAAAATATAAATAGATTTAATTAACTTTTTAAATATAATTTTACTTCAAATTTTAAATGATAAAAGAAAAGGTATATATATATATATATATAGTTGTAAGAATAAATGTATATAAAAACTAAGATATCGAAGATGAAAATAATTATAAATTCAATCAAAACATAACAATGACGAATTAATAATGTGACAAATAGTTGAATTATTGGACAACTAAAATGTTAAAACTATAATTCTACTCTAGACTTTTATATATCATAAATATATAGAATGACATTAAAAGATTAGAGTAATATAAAATAGGTATATTTTTGCGTAATATTAGTTAATCACAATATTAATTAAATGTTAATATATTTTTTATTTAATTTTACAAATCATAAGAAATGCCACCATGTATTTTTGCTGAAGTAGCTTTATATATTTCTCCAAGTTAATATATTTTAATACACATTTTGACCGCTAAAAAAATAAGTTTGAATTTATAATTTTATATGAGATTTTGTATTGATAACTAGAAATTATCATCATTGATGCAAAAACATCACATACTTCAATACATTTTGCATTTTAATTCAACTCAATCCCATTTTCAAGCGACATATTTATTGCAATCACAAATACATTAATCACATTGCAATATAATTCCATTGTATTAACTTACAACATCATTGTAATGACAAATAAATTGTATATTAGGTTTGCAAAATGCACCAAGTTTGGTTGCATCATTCTAGTATTTATCAAAAATATATAAAATTAAAAAAAAAACTAATATCAATTTACTATTAAATATATGAATCAACTAACAAGCATTATTTTAACTTAAAATACAATCTTAAGTTTAATTATAATAAATACAGTTACGTTAAATATTCAGGATAAAAATTTTGTTATTCATAGTAATTTTATTTAATTTAAACAAAATTATATCTTATTAAAACACTTATGATCTAACAAAAAAATTAGATTCATTAATCCGTGTTGACTTATCACATCATATTCGTTATTTCACATTGTTTAACATTATTACCCATGATAGATCTATTAACATGACTTATGACAACGAATAACACTTCATTCATCTTGAAGTATTTTTTGTATGTATGATTTTAACTTTTATTTCTGCTTAAAAAGTTGTTGTATTTACTTTTTTAATAATCATAATATTAAATTCTTTTTCTCTTGCCCCTAAAAAAAAATAAAAGAATCACATTTATCATCATTTTGCATTAAAAAAGAAATGAGAAATGAGATAAGGTTCTAACACATGACAAGTAAAAAATATAAATAATTAAGAGAAAAACACTCTTTAACCAGTTAGTTGATGCAATTGATTCACGTTCAAAAGACACGTTCTTTAAATGAATTTGAGGGAGATGAAGGCTAAGATAAGCTTAGAGTTTTTACATGAATGATTTTAGTCATTCTAAATTTAGAGTTTCATATCTCAATTAGAATATGAGAAGGGTTTAAAAAAAACACTCTTTAATATACTTTTAATTAAAATATATAAATGTAGGTGTGAAAATTATTAAATTAAGAATAAAACTTTTTTTTAAAATTTAATAAATTATAGGCAATAACTACGAGTGTGTTAAAAAAATATATTACCAACATTTCTTTTAAAATATAGACTACTTTTTCTATTTTTGATATAAATGCACATAAGATTATTGTGTTCAAATAAAAAACTCAACCAATTAGTTATATAGGCACTTAATGACTTAAACAAATAGAACTTAACAAAGAAACTAGTTGCGAATTAAAAACAAAAATTGAGGACTAAATAATAAAATTTTATAAGAAAGATAAAATAAAAAAATCAGAATAATTTAAAAATGAAAAACATAACTTTAAAGTTATTATTATTTTATTAAACTTCTACTATAACGTGTTTATATTGTAATATTTTTGTTTTATTTAAAGGTAATTTGTTGACAATTTAACGAGGCTTTATCATAAAATAAAATTTTAAAAATAGATTCTCAAATTAAATAATAAAAATAACTTAAGGCAAGATCAAACATATACAAAGGCTAAACTATACTTAAAAGAAAAAGTTAGATTTTAAAAAGGTTAATAATTTTAGATTTTTTTTTCTTTAGATAATGTTTTTATAGAGACTTCAAAAAAAAAAAACCTTGAGTTATCGAGTCCAGAGAAATTTATGCTTAAAAAACTTAAAAGGTTATACATTTTGTATTCATTTAAAGTTGAATCAATATGACTCTGTGTTCTTTCTTTCTACTTATTTCTTGATCTTTTTCTCTAACATGAAAGGCACTGAATTGACGAGTTTTTGTTTTTGAAAAATTTTAAATAAATCCATTGACCTGCTTGCAAATATTTTATAAAGGAGGAAAAACTTAATTCAACCTTCTTTATTGCGTTTTTTTTTTTTTATTATTATTATTTCTCTTTTTACAAACATTATAATATTAGTTTACAACCTTTGGCATACCATACTCAAGGAAACAAGAGATCCTCACTCTTTTTACTTTTAAGGATACCTCACTGTCTTATAAATTTTCTCTCTATTATAAGGATACCTCACCCTCTGAAAAATAAGAGGAAATGAAACCACAAATTAAAGAAGTTCTCCAATAAACAAAGAATGTGTATTAATAAGCACATAAGAACTATTATGCAACAAAGAGTAGATGATATAAGTTGAACCAGTGTAGGCAAACAATGTGTGTGATGAGAGAATGTTTTCCCAATGTTTATCTATTGTTCTTCTTTCAAAACAAACAAAAAGGTAACCTTAAATAGAATAGAAAACACATGAATTCTAATAGAGACGAGAAAAACATTTTATGAAATAAAACTTGACCATTGCATCATAAAGATCGAATTCATTAGGGCCATTTTGTTGGTCAATAAAAACTTCCTAAAGGCTAGCTAATTTATTAATTAAGTTCCTAATCTATTATGCAGGTTTTGCCTATCTTAAAACAAAGCTTCAAAAGACAAATCAATTAATTATGAGTTGGTCTCTTAATCAATTAGATCATATTTCGCTAACAAATACGTAAAAATAGAAAGTACTTGTTTGTTTACACGTTAATTTAATACGACAAAAAATTTAAATAAAAATAAATGAACGAATTGTTCTGTACAACTTACAAATTAAGTAAATGATAATGGTATATTTCTACATTCAGAAAACTCCAATTTTATTATAAACAATTAGATCCTATAAAAGTCTATCATATAAAAATTTCCTTACTTTATATATTAACATTTTCAATATGTTCAATTCTTTGACAGTAAAAGAGAAAATAATATTAAAATATTCACTTTATTTTAAATATATATTTTCTTGATACATAGCATTCCTACACCGATTTTAGGTTCACACCCACATTGGTTTGTTGGATGATTGTGTTTTCCAAATATAGTCTTACCATTGTAACGTGCAATTCATTAATATTGACTCAAGTGTTTTGTTGGAGGAAAACTTTGGAACTTAAAACCCAAATGGCAAAGAAAGGGATTTAGCCTAACGTGTTCACATACACTATCCTTTTTCGTGAGTTTTGAAAGGATAAAAGGGATGAACTTACCATTGAGGTCTCAGAAGAAATAAGAGTGATGGATGTAGTCATAATATTTGCATCTTTGATGCTCTTATTAAGATGCATGGTAACCTATAAAAGTTTACAAAAATGATGAATTTTATAAAGGAATCAAGTGTGCAATTTTTCCTCAAATATTGTTACTTAGAATATCCTTTAGATTATGTTCGAACAAAACACAACAAGCAAGGGAGGAAAAGAAATTCAAGGTAATCTTCTCAACATATGTTTGTTAAGTAAAGGAGTGAGTACCTTTGAGTCATATTGGAATTCTATTTGATTCGCAGGCATCTAGTTGGCATTGTTATAACACTTATTGACGACAAATCTTCAATGATTATTTGTATAACAATAAATTTATAAACTTTTTTTAATATGGAACAAATTGAAAATTTGTGTATTTTTTATTAAAATTTATATAATATTGTAGAATTTAATATATTAGTAACACTAAAATACTATAGTTTTAATTAAAAAATATTATCTATTCTTATTTTATTTATACGTGTTTTTTAGCACATATTAAACATTTGTTCAATTTTGATTTCTAATTTGTAATTACTAAATTTTAGTCTTTTTTAATTTATTATTTATTCAACTTTTATCCCTCCAACATCTAATTCTACAGTTTAGTCTCCGTATTTTTTGAAATTTGCATTTATTAACACACAATTCAAAATTTAATAGAATGACGAGCTGGTTGTAGTTATATTAAAATGTGCATGTTTATATTGTTAAATATGTTGAAGTATTTATGTTAATTATGTTAATAAGTATGCGTCTATGTTCAAAAAATAAAAAGTTTTTAAGCAAAAAAGAAAAGTTCTAAAAGAAATTTATTAGAGATAAAAAGCCACAGGAATAAAAAAACAGCAATTGAATTAACTTTACATTAGTGCAGGTTATTGTGAAACAAAATTTTTAGTCATATCAATTAAACAAATAAAAAAACATAAGCATAATTAATATTCATTTCATCCTCTAGTAAAATTTGGACAAGAAGTTAGTGGATGCAATGTTCTTTAAAAAAATAATGGAACCAAAATAGTGCAATATTAAAAATAGAATTTTTATTTTTTTTTAAAAACCAAACATATCTAAAACTGCGTAAATGTCAAACTACTATATTACAAATTAGGGACCAAGACTAAAGTTAGCAAATAAAACTATCCAATTAGGTGAATTCAAACCAGTCGAATTAAATATAAACTTTAGCCTTAAATCTTGTTGTTTGCACTTTAGTTTTTTCTATTTGCACCTTTATAATTTTTTTTATAATTTATGTTTTCAAAAATACTCATTAAAAATCTAAATTATCCCTCTTGTATAATTTAGTGAATAATAAATATGTCTATTTTATTAGATATTTTTATGATCAATTACTAATTTCTTTTAGTTATAATTATAATATTGGATTGTATGATTCTAAAACAAATTAATAAAGTAATATGATCAAAACAGACTTCCGAAATTAACATTTTACAATTTTTAAGCTTTTAGAATTTTAAATTTTAAAATATAATTAACAAAACTTTAAAATTAAAATTTTAAAAATTATACTTTTGGAGAGTTAATTATGAAAGTACAAAAAATTTGTTAATAATACTTATAAGATTAAGAGTATATTTGATTTAATCTTTAAAAATAGTTTTTAATTTCTAAAAATTAAAAATTATTTTTAAATAAATCAAACATGCTCTTAAGTTTTTAGAAGTATAATTTTTATAACTTTATTTTTAGAACCTTCTTAATATCGTAAATAAAATTAAAAAAAATAATTCTTAAATGCAACTTTTCATCTAAACTTTAAATAAATTATATCCAATAAAAAATTAATAAAATAATTTATTAGTAATATGTATATAATTATTATGACTTCAATCATTAATAGATAAAAAAAATAAAATTACGTTGTTACAATGAAATTGATTCAATTGCATAAGATAAAGTATTGATTGCTACATTAATTTTACAAGTTTTAATTTTAATATTGATTAGGGTATTTATGAAAAATAAATTAAAAAATTAAAAGAGTTCCAAATTAAAAAAGGAAAAAGGTGCAAAAACAACCCCTTTTTTTGGTAAACTTGAGTGTCTTTTAACCCGATCCAAAAATGGGTAAAATTTTTCAAAGGAAACAAGTACTGAATTAAGAGAATAAAAATTTCCAATGAAAAATTGAGAGAAAACAAAGAATAAGAGCGGTGTGGAAGGTTATTGAAGAGAGAGCCGTGAAGCCACTGAAAGAACAGCAGAGAGGGTAATGGCGACGGAGATGGAAGAACTCGTCTCCTTTCTATCTTCACCATCGCCACAGGTAAACACTTTTCGCTTACACTTCCCTTTTCATTAAGTCGTTTATTCCCATCACACGTGCCCCGTTGTCGTTTCACTTTGCAGATCACAAAAGCCGCCGTTGATATAGTTCGTGGATTAACCGGTTCTGCGGAGGGCTTGCAGTCCCTCGCCAATTACTCTAAAACCCTTTTCCCCTCGTTGGCTCCGCTCTTAACGGTTCCGAAGGTAACAACTCAACATAACCCACTTTTGCTTCTACTATGCTAGGTTTCCGTTTACGGATTTCAAACGACGTGTCGTTTCAGGAGGTTTCCGAACCGGCTGCTGAAGCCCTCGTGAATCTCTCGCAAAATTCGGGTCTCGCAGAGGAGATGGTTCGTTTTGGACTGGTCAAAACGACAATGGACGTGTTGTATAAGCCGGAGTGTGCAATTGCTCGCTTGCTTGTCATGCTTTTGGTGAATCTCACTCAACTTGATGTCGGTGTTGCTTCTTTGCTTCAGGTGCGTTTTTATTTTATTTTATTTATTTGAAAAGTATTTGTATTGAAAAAAAAAGTAATTTTTTTGGAAGAAGCGTTACTTTTATGATGAATAGATGTAAATGACTATGGTACGAAGGTACAATATGGAATATGCGAAATTAAAGCATGGTTCGTTTTTATCTTGGTGGATGAATAAATAACAAGTTTTATTAGAAATTGTAGTATTTAATGTTATCAATGCGTTTGATCTTGTGATATTTTGTGATTTTTAATAAAAACTTATTATGTGTTGATTCTTATTGTGTATTCTTGGGCATATGTTAAAAAAATGAATTGTTATATGGACTTGTCAATGAGCAATTTTGTGTTGGCTGTCAGATTGAAGATGAGAAGGTGCGTGGATTATATGTTATGAAGCTTGTGAGATCATTTTGTAGAACCAACCATGAAACCAATGGTGCGTTCTTCTCGAATTCCAGTCAGTATAAATATACTTATTTTTGCAAAACCACTATATGGCTGTGCATGCGTCTCTTTTCATCATTTTGGCGCTGTTGGATCTCTAGTCATGTTATTGAATTCTGAACCGTTTTCTCTGGGCTGAGTCAACTCTATTGGAGAGAAAATTAAAGTTATGAATAAAGGGAAATGTATAAGCTTGGCTGTTTAACAGTCTGAGAATAGTGATACAAGAAAACTTGACTTTTTTTTTTTATTTGGGAAAAGATTCTGCTCCTGTCAGATATCTGTTTTGATTGTTGAAAATTCTGCTCTAATTGTCGTGCTGATTCAGTGAAAGCTTTTTACCAGATGATGCTTTTGAACATGTCGGGTCAATACTTGTTAACATCTCAAAGCAGCTGGAAGGGAGGGAGCTTCTACTTGACCCAAAACGCGGTCTCTTAAAGCAGATAATCAGGCAGTTTGATTCAACCAGTTCGTTGAGAAGGAAAGGGGTATGTGCAATAACTGCACCCTAAATGATTTTGGTTTCCCATCCTTGAGCAATGTTTGCACTTTGAATAGCTTTATTTTTAATTCAATTGAGAGGTACTTTATATTCAATTAAATCCAATTTATTAACTACTTTTGGAAGAAGTGGTCAATAGATGATTTAGTTGCTTCCTTGGATTTCTTTGCCAATGGTTTGATGCTCAGTACATTACAGGAACATGGACTGATGCTGTTTTTGAACTTGGTATTAATAAATAAAGATTTGTAGCCCTAGAACAGTATTCTTTAAATTGAGTTCATGATGTGTAACTAATCCTTGGTATTGTTTGGTTCCTGTTGATATTTCACCTTATGGATTTTTGCTTGTGTTAATTATGCTTTCCCCATAACAGTAAAATTGATTTTTTGTGATATTTTCAGTTACTAAGTTAATGGCTTAGCCAACATGGGCAGCTTTTTTCTAGTCAGTTTTTATAGCTTTTAACTTTGCTCATCTAAAAAATTGTTGTAATATTTGTTTGCTTGCAGGTCTCTGGAACTATTCGCAACTGTTGTTTTGAAGCTGAAAATCAGTTACAACATTTGCTTTTGGAATCAGAGTTTCTGTGGCCTGCTTTACTTCTTCCTGTAGCTGGCAACAAGGTTGGTCACATATTCTACTTTTTCTGATCTTAAAGCATTCTTCTGCATATTGAGGAATATGATTCCTTAACCCACCAATTGTTTTTTGATTAGTGCTGAAGAAAATGAAGCTATATCAATTTCAAATTAGTAAGAACTAAGAACTGTAGTTAACTAGATGTCTATATGTGCGTCGCAAGTTACATATTTGTTGTGATGTATGCCTAGGGATTTTTCCTCCTAATTTGTTTTGAGGTCAAAATTCTCATTATGAAATACATGCATAACTTCAATTTATGAAAATAATATTATGTTATTTACTGTATTGTCCTTGGAACTTACAGCGATCATATCAGGTGATATCCTTTTAGTTTAAGAATGTGCTTGAGTCCTTAAGTTTGTTTCGTGCAAATTCCATTGATTAAGAATCACTTATGCAGATCTACAGTGAGCAAGACAGATCGAAAATGCCACTTGAACTTGGGACAGCACTCTCAATTGAACGTGAACCAGTTAATGATCCGGAAATTCGTATTCAAGCATTGGAAGCAATATACCTAATCTCATTGCAGGTAAATTTGAAAGTTTTGCTCCTTTTCTTCTCATTATTTTGTTTTCATTTCTCTTTCTTTGTTACGTATTAGATTAGGGCCTGATTTACTTTTCAACAAGCACATATAGGAAAATTAAAAACAAAAGAAGAATCTAGAAGGTAAAATAAATTTAATTTCTCCTATAAGTTAAGATTAACTTATATTTCCAACTTTTTTAGAAGCTCTATCATTTTACATTCTGTCAGTCAATATGCATAGTAAGTTGATTTAAACAAGTTTGAATTATTTTACCTCAATTCATTTTATTTTCTTACAAATGTTTGTTGAAAAGCTTATCCAAATTGGTTCTAGATAAAACTGGATTCGAGACAAACATGTTTTCAAAACTGTGTTATCGGCGTTGAACATTGTGAAATAGGAATCTTAGCAGGAAAGTTACGTTTTTGTCCTTTGGTATAGTAATTGGTATATATTATTATGTCCTTAGAATTCTGTCAAAATTTTCATATATACAACTCTTATGAGTTTGAGTCAGGAAAGCAAAGTGCTGATCTTAATCTTGGGATAGTATATGTGCATGTTAAAAGTTTTTACCAATGTAAATAATATGTATAATAAACCGATCTAAATGTTCTTTTTGGAACTTCTACAATCCTTGTTTCGTCAATGATACAACTTGATTAAGATGCTTATATAAATGCAATATATATTTTTATTATTGATCAATTTACCCTTTCAATAGCATGGCTTTTACTTATCAGTATGCTCCAGTTTGTGTGTTTTAATAATAAGATATATTGCTTTGCAATGCGTCCAATTTATGCTGTGAGATCTCATTGTTTTGCAGGAAGCAGGTCGAAGAGCGTTTTGGTCTGTAAATGGACCTAGAATAGTACAAATCGGTTATGAAGATGAGGAAGATCCAAAAGTAATGGAAGCGTACGAGCAATTGGGATCCTTGGTAAACACCATATCTTGAGCGTCCTCCCCATGTTTCTCTTGCAAACTTGTAATGTTAATTATCTGAATATTATTTTAACTCTGATGTTGGCTGTGTGTATTTGTTGATCAGTTGGTTCACAGCAGCAGTACGGATGAAGCATCCATTGAGGCCACAAAGTAGTTACTTTTTATACGATCAATTGACTCCACAATATCTCTCCATAAGAACAGAGTAGTTGTGAAGGCTATTCCAAGTCAATTTTCCATTTTGAGGTTATAATTATCATTTTAAGAAATATGTAAATTATCCTGCTCACAATAGCTGGTCAAAGTTGTTATTTATAGACGGCAGAATCAGTTAAAGACGCGCTCTTGATGATGTTAAAGTTCAGTTTGCACCTTCAGATTCTGCATTTTGAATTTTGGATTCTTTAATCTAGACTCTAGGCTACACTTTTTTACAATGGTAATTATTGATGAGAAAAGTTCACCTTCTATAATGATTAATTTGGAGGATCTAGATCTTTTTCTCTTCTTTTTTATGTAACCAGCTTTGGATTATTTTTAATCATTCATTGACACTGATAATTTTATCATTTATGACTGTCGGACGAAGCATCATTGAAAACTAACATCCCTTCATATTCAAAACTTAATAGAAGTACTCGCATTTGATGTACAAATTTGTTTATGTATACTAAGTATATTGTAGCATATACAAGACATGTAATAATTACATGTTAAGCTATACAAGACTTGTAAGAATTTTTGGAGTTGTATTTAAGAACTTTTTAAATGGAATAGGTATACATTAATTTGTTTGGTTTAATTTTAGATGTGCTTAAAAATGATATACAAAAGATTATTTTTTAGTGTATGTTTTTTGCAAATGATACAATGTTTGTTGAAGATTTGAAAGATGTTGATGTTAAATTTGAGTTATAGAAGATTTTTGAATCTAAGAGTATGTTTGTTTGCATTTTGAAAAGAGAAAATAAGAGTTTTTGTTTGAGTAGAAATAAGATAGAGTATAAACTCTTTTTAAAAATGCAAACAAACATACCCTAAGAGTTTTTGTTTGAGTAGAAATAAGATAGAATATATGTATTGTAGATTTAGTGAAAAAAAATGAAAATTATGCGTTAAAAATTAAAATTAAAGATAATATTATATTACAAAATTTCAATTTTAAGTATTTGAGATCAATTATACAAAATGATGGGGAAGTTAATGAATGTATTGCTTATAAAATACAAGTTGAGTGGTTAAAGTAGAGAAAAATATTCGAAATTAATTTTTATCTAAAAGTGTCTATCAAGTTGAAAAGAAAGTTTTATTATATTGTATTACGATCAACTATTTTATATGGTAGTAAATGTTAAGCCTTGAAAGAAGAATATGAGAAAAAAGTGAAAGTGTCTGATATAAAAATATTAAGGCAGTTGAGTGAAACACATAAAAAAAGACATGATATAAAATGATAATATATAGGTGAAAACACTAGAAAAGATGAGTGAAAATCATCTAAGGTACTTCAGTCATGTGTAGGAAAGACTTTTAGAAGTGCAAATTAGGAGATGAATTGCATGACTCTTAATTTGGTAAAGAGGGGTTCGAAGGTGACTAAAAAAACTTTAGATGAAATTATTAAAAAAGACTTTTTAATTAACCAAATTTTTGAAAATTTAGTTTTTGATCGAGACCAATAATGTCATGTGATTTATATAATCGATTTTATCTAGGGAGATAAAACTTAATTATTGTTGTAATATACGAAGTATAATGTAAATAAGCGTAATTGTCGTTTTAAATAAGAAATTTTATGTCAAAAATTATGAAGACATTAATTATTTTGTTATTTTATTTTATTATTTTTGGTTGAACAAGCTATTTAATTAAGCCTATTGAAACTAGGGTCTAGAGTTCATACTTTAAGTTTAAATTAATTTTTAGCCTTCTTTGTCTAATAAATCTTAATTTTTTATTTGACCTGGTTAAGTCAATAAAAACTTTTCTCTCTCTTTTTTTTTTCGGTAATAGGCAGCAAGATATATTTAAATTAAAAAAAGAATAGAAATAAAAGTTGTTAATGACAATTATAATATGTGTTATCGAATTAAACGATCTTGAATTGGATTTATTGATAAGAATCAAATAAGGTTCATTGAAGACAAAGGCTTAAAAACATTAGAAAGACTTCAAAGACCAATTACAAGGACAAAGATAAAGAGAATAAATGCAAACTTAGAGAAAATAATTGTCCTATTTAAAAGAGAGCTCAATTTGGAGTTAGAAAAATCCAAAATAGTCAATTACATATGCACAAAGAACTTGTACTCTAATATGTCCATTAAAATTTAATTACTATATTTATTTTATTTATTTTAATATTAGTCATTATTTATTTTGAGTTTTTATTTGGGATAATATTTTATTAATTTTTTAGATTTGGGGTTGTTGACACAAAAAAACTCATTAGAGTTGTATTTGTATTGATTTATGAGGGTTAGACATATATATGCTCTTGTATACATACTTTTAATTAGTTTTGAATATAATTTGACATTAAATAACCTGTGAGGGCGTACTCTTGTGAGATCGCATAACTCTAAATTTTTGAGTCAACCAATTATCTTTGATCTTATCAAGAGGCAAAATTATCAAAGATCAACATTTCTCATTTCTATTTAATAACATACGAAGAGTTTTGTGATTTTGTCTAAGTGATTGTTGAATTTTTGCCTTCGAATAAATAGAAAAAAAATAGATTAATAAAAGTCTACGACTCATTATCATTTCTTTTTCTGATATATATAATATGAGATTTCACTGAGTCTTAAAATTTTTTTAATCTTGTAGTGATCGTTCTTTATCTTATCAATCTTACAATTGTAGCGTCATTTTTTATCTCTATTCTATTTTTACTTTTATTAATTTTTTTTTATTTCAATTCTTATTTCTACCCTAATAATTTTGTTTTTATTTTTAAATACAATTCAATTCAAAATCGTTTAATTTAGCAACACAAGTCATGATTATTATCAGCTATTAACAAAAATTTTGGCATTGAAAAAAGCATTAAAAAAAAAACACAACCTTAAAGAATAAAAGAAATCCAACAAAAACTTGAAGTTACAAATTTGGACTAGAAAAAATTAGAAAAAGATGTCACTCTAAACTAGCCCAAATTCAATTAGACTGAAAAAAAGAAATGTTAAAATATAAATATTAAAATTTTAATATGCGTCTGATGTAACAGTGAAGTGTTTGGAGTATAAATTTGAAAGACACTTTCGAAACAATTTTAGATTGAAACTCCCTTGGCTATTTATCCTTAAATATGTTACTAACATACATTTATATATCTTAATATTTTCCTTCAAGTTTAATTTTTTAATTTATTTTTAGTATGGGCTTCAACTTATAGCTTCAAGTATTTTGGCTTCCCCCCCCCCCCCCCCCCCTTCCTTCGATTTGACGTTGCTTAACATTTTAGTATATTCTCTGGATTGAATGAAAATGATTATTTAATATGAAAGAAATTTGATCAAACATTTTTTTTATATGTTTTTAATCAAAGTTATTTAATAGTTTTTAAAATATTATACAAAGATTTTAAACATGTGATTTGGTAAACATAAGTTTAATGTTCTTTGCATATTTTGAATCTTTCATTGTGTGTTGGTTTCCCATTAAATGTGTACCGATTGACGTTTATTTCAATGTCACTGATTGTAACTTTTCTATTGATTTTATTATCTATTTCTAAACACACTTAGTTTCCTTGCGATTCAATTTCATATGACGAAGAAGGAGCTCCTCGCTTATGACCTTCGTTTCCATCCTCCTCCAATCAGAGTCGTAGATAAGAAGAATCCATGATGATCCACCGAAATTTCCACGCCATTTTCAATACCCAGTTCACAGTTTAAGGTTTTTTCTTCTTGTTATTCATGACAATGAGTGTTTTTTTTTCTTCAAAATATGGTAAAAATAAAATATTACAAAAACAGGATATTCACTGAACATTTTATTTGTTTGAAATAATTTTTTTTGTCAAGTTACTTTAAATGTTATTCCTTACAAACTGTCGCTTATTCTTTTAGTAATAAAAGTCAACACTCAATTATGCAAAGGTCGATACTTAACTTTTTTATTGTTAAAAAAATAAAGTTGATGTTTCCAGTGAAACTGAAATTATTTGGCCATTAAGGTTTTTGAAGAAACCTATGCATTTAGTTATGAAGAGACATTGAGAAAAACTCATCATATACGTCAGCAAGAACCATTTAAACTCAGATTGCAACAACTGGTCTACAATCTTGTAAAACATGGATAATAGTACCTTTCAAGATGCAAAACTTGTACCTTGCATTACCAGGCAAGTGATCTAACTGGACTGAGAAGAGAAAGAAAGTCTTCGCAATGTTGGGGAACCTTTAGATGTCATATCCAACTCCAAGATGCAAAAATTAAGCCAACACTCATGTGAACATGGATTTTTTTTTTAAATAATAAAAAATAAATATCAACATTTATATGAATGATAATTAATTTTTTATTATTAAAAAAAATAAAGTGTCGATTTTATCAGAAGTGACACTTAAAGTGGCATGACAAAAAATATATCAAACTGAACAAATATTTTGTTAATACCTTATTTTAGTAATTTTTTTATATTTTTACCATATTTGGAAAAAAAAAAATCCACACATGAAGTGTTGTTTGGATTGGCTAAATGGGATTCTCGTTGGATGGCATTTTTGAGAGATCATGGTACGGGGTTTCCTTTCCCCTGGTTAGGGATGTAAATTGGCAAAGTTAAGGATCTAACTATTAAATTTAAGCTTGAATACGGTTTATTTATTTAATTTAGATGATTTTTAAGGCAATAAAAATATTTACTATATTTTTTTTTTAACTTTAATGCATAATTTGTTTCCTTTTTTTACCAAACATTTATTATTTTTAAAAACTTAGAATCAATACTAAAAAAAGATGTTCCCAAAACCATCTTATTTAAATGAAAAATGTTTTGTTTACACCTAAAGAAAGAAAGAAATAGAAGGAGATGAGACATTTTATATGTAGGTTTTGAAACTGTTTGAATGCTTATAAATCATAGAAATATTTAAATATACCTATTTGTTAGGCTTAAAAGTTTTTTTAAAATGGTTTGAAATCTAACATTTTTAACTAAATAAAATTTGTATGAAAGTCTAGATCTAAGTTATTTAATAAATAAACTTGACTTAAATCTGATGTAAATTAGGATATAACTTCCAACTCGTGACTTTACTTATTTTCACATTATATTTTGTTTTATCAATGATGATGTACCCAGAAGGAGGTTGTGTGATGACATGACAAACATGTTCCAATTTGAATTTTTCTTAAATGTATTCTCTTTGATTAATTATTTTGAGATTATCAATTCAAATATTATTCCAGCTTTATATTATCTCAAATTTGTAAAATTTTATTTTAAACCAATTCAAATATGTTTCTCTTTTGATAATGCGTTATTTAAACAGGTTTTTGAGTTTTTAATTATAAAATATATCGATTTCTTTTGAGAAGTAAAAAATATTCAT